TCTTGTTACCCTATCCTGTAATGGTTTAGCAAATGTTAAATGTAATTATACCACATTAAGAAAAGAACTGAGGCCAGCCAACCGGAAGGGAATTCTGCCAGTTAGCATCCGAATTTAAGTCACTGCAGTCGTCTGGTGGATCCTATTATACTTAATCCAGGCCATCAGTCACTGTAGGTCACAAGGGTTGTCATCATAGGCTAATTTAACACTAGCAACCTCCCACTGAAATAGTAAAGTTATGCAAGGACAAAAGTCCTTCCCAGCCTAACATGACACCCACAGTGTTCAGCTAAAACCATTCCTATCACTGGATCAACGTGGGTCTTCATGAATGTCAAAATGCTACCGATTCTCTGTCAGAGGGTGGAGGTTTGCTTATTTTTCTCTCCTTATCTCTGCTTATCATTTTTGCTCTCTTTGTTATACAGATTAATGGCATTTCCTAGAATTTCACACAAAATCCATTCCCTGTTTCTAAGTTCTAATGAGTCCATAAATGTATTCTATAGAAAAGAAAATGCTGCAATGATGTTAAAAAGCACCTTTAAAATATAAATCCATGTAATCAAATACACACTATAACATTCCCTGGGTAACACACAAGAACTCAGAAACATACGAACCTATTCTCTTCAGCCTAAAATAGTACAATTTGTGAGTTTCTGAATTGCTGACTGGTAGTAAAAATGCAGATATCTAACAGAAGGGTTTTGTATAGCCTGTGAAGAGCATCTAGGTATTATTACAGGTTTCATCTCGAGCGTTTCCTGGTGCTGGAGAGCCTGATGGCTGCACGTTACGGCAGAGTGCGGGGAGGACAAGGAGGTAGAGAGAGAGTAAGGAGGTAGAGAGGATCAAGAGAGGATTCCACCTCCCCTTCTTCTGACACCCGCCACTCAGGGCAACAGAGCAAGGGGACACAGCCACACACAGGTTAGTACTCAAACAGGAAAATTTATTTATTTTTTCACTCCTTTAATGCAGTTAATCTTGGTTTCTAATGAAGACAAAGGCACCTTTTTCTTGATTAAATAAAAAGATTATAGCCACATACTTTAAAACATCCATAAACCTGCATGGAATGAGTTTACTTCAGGAAGTACATGTGCACCACAGAAACAGCTGGCTCATGTTTAAGGTAAGCAAAATAAATCTAATAAGACCATTATCTTTTTGTAAAAGTACAGTTAATCTAAAAAAACCTTTGCTTTTATAAACTGGCTATTTTCTGACTGATCTTTAGAGCACCAAGAAATTCTATTCTATAACCAGCTCAAATGTTGTTACCATGCAGTGAACTCCAGATGATATAGAACCAGGCAAAAGGACTCCCACTGACTTATTAATGGACAGTATAAGAAGAGAAAGACCACTGGAGAAGAACATGGCAGAAGCACATTCTCTGAATAAAACGTCTCACTGCAGCAAGACACTGCCATCCTATCAGCATCCCATTCAGCTGAAACCACCTCCCAAGAAAGCCACTAACATTTTTGGCTTGACTTTTTTGTTAAAAGCACCATGAAGGGCATCGTAAACTGGCTGCACAGCTTGCTAACCACCAAACCCAGCACATCAGAGTGAGCTCTTCTGTCCCGTTCCAAGCACAGTGAGGACCATCGCATCCCTAGGGCAATGCAAAGCGTCACTCTGAGGAGGCACTAGCCAGCACAACATCGAAGTAGCAATAAGAAAGAAGCTTTAGATCTCCATGAATAAAGACACATTGTGTTGGGAGGCCTTTTTAACTTGGGCGCTCTACAGCCCTTCCAAGCCTGCTGTAGTCCCTTTCGTCAGAAGCCTGAAGTCAGAGTTGACTGAACTTCTCACTTCTGAACTTTGAGGGTCAAGGTATCTGATTTCAAACTGAGAATACCAACAAAAGGCAAAATGCCCCTACAGTCAAATACTATAGCCTCTTTATAAGAAGTAGGTTGGTATTGTTTTGCCATCAAACATTTTAGCACAAATCTTGCTGTAGATAGAAGACAAATGGCCACCTGATTGCAGAATCTGTCTCCTGCGAAAGGTATGTGCCTGCTTCTTGCCTTCAAATTTGCCTTTTCTTAATTCGGATGTAGCGGTACTCTGCAAGCGGAGCAGGTGACAGCATTTCGGTGTGCAGTCGTGCTTGCAGCATGCTCTGCAGCGTCACGCTGAGGGGGTGCACACAGCGTCGCACTGCACTCCGAGAGCCTTAGTTACCTTGTTAAAGAAAAAGCAGCACTCGGTTGCTTAGTCTGTGCACACTCACACACACATGGCAGGCACAAACCAGATACCTCGGAGCAGAAAGAAGACAGGGTAATCTGCCTGGCTAACTTCAGTGCTTCTATCCTCATTGCAGCAAACTCTAACTCCTCCTGTCAAATGTTTGGTTGTGAGCAATCCACAGAAAGAAATGCATTAAGAACACAGCAAAAATGTTAACACATTAAAAAATGGAATGTTATATTTCAATGTATAATTCTGACAATTCCTGGGTGACAAACACATCCCATATTCCTTTCATGACTAGAACATTGGTACAAAACTAACATTGCTCGGTTCTGAGGTAGCTGTATGAACAATTTTTATTAGGGGGTAAGTATGAGCAACACTGTGGGTAAAATAAATGTTTTCTGATGATAAAGCTGTTTTTCACAGACTCCCTTCCTTTTGTTTTCATTTTATGTGAATTTATGCCAGCTACCGCTCTCAGTTCAGCCTTTGCTGTTTTAAAGTTTCACTGTAAATATTCTAGAAAATATGTGCTGCTGCCATACAGAACTGCTTTGCTTTTCCTAGAAGAAGCCACATCAAATTCTGCATTAGAGAGATAACCAGAAAAACAAAACCTAATTTTCATTTCAGCAGAATTAGGGCCTAAATCTCTGAAAATGAATCTATGCATACAGACCTACTAAGGCCAGGTGTCAAGACAACTCTCCACACATCGAGTCCTGTGGTCAAGCTTAAAAGATTTGCTTTATAAAGACATCTGCAAAATATATATGTCAGTGGTATAGAACAGCTGAAAGTGTTGATGAAATTTAAGGTTAGGTATTATATGAATTAAATTAAAATATCTGTTCCTTAAATTCCTGAAAGGCCAAAGTTACTTTGGAAAGAATCAAATCATTATTTTGCTTCTTTCCCACCCACCCCCTTCAGATGAGGCAAAGAATTCCTCTACCTCTGTATAGACAAACTTAAAAAAAAGTGACATTTATATTTCTGCTACAAACCTGAAGTTTCTGAGCAAATACTGGGGGGTTCTTTTCTGCTAAGTCAGGATCTAGATATTCAGGCTGATCACATATTGAGGTTTTCTTAGATATCCTATTGA